AAAAAAGTTTTTCTGAAGAAGGGTCTAGGCCCGAAACGTCAGCCTTCCTGCTCCTCTGATGCTGCTTGGCCTGCTGTGTTCATCCAGCTCTACATTTTGTTATCCCACGTGCTATTAGGGTGTTCAGTCACCCCAATCAAGGATTAACCCTTAAGAGATATTGAATTTGGTTACTGTACCAAGAAAGTGCTCTGGAAGGTGATATACTCATTTATTTGCATTTTAATTATCTAATTCTATTGAACTAAATGCTCAAACAAAAGTTAGAGAGAGAAAACGAACACCAACAAATTATGGAAATGCAACACGTCTCTTTGCAAAAAATAAAGTTGCATACTTAATTTGTAATTGCTGTGTGTCCAAAAATCCAGATAGCTAGCAGCATCAGCCTCCAATATCTTGAGAAATCATAAGGCCTTTGCTTACTACCACAATACTAAATTCAATTACCTCCTGCATTTAAAACATTATTCACTTACCAGGATCTTGGACAATCAAAACACCTGATCTCTTGTCTTGAATGAGAAGTTATAGGACACAGAATTTTTTGTGCACTCTTACAGATGATTTTTTGGATGTAATACAGAGAGCTGTCAAAACTGGAGTTCAAAAGGTAAACAAAATTCTGTTTTCTGTCAAGAGTTTCCAAAATATTGATTTTTAAATTCCATTTGAATACAGTTTGAATATTGAGATACACTAGATTAAAATTGAATTACCAGATCAGTCAGCATAATTAAACTGAAGCCTGCAGGAACTCTGAAATTTACTTGGTCTCCCAAATTTAGACATTCCAGGGATTAGAGAGAATGAGGAATTAAAGGAAATTAATATTAGTTAGAAGATTGCTTTGGAGAAATGTATGTTCTGAAGAAGAATATATGCTACATGGAAAATGTAAAGTATCGAGGATTTGGGCAAGCGTAATGAATGGACAGGATGCGGCAGATGGAATATAAACAGTAAAAATGCGAAATTATGCACTTTTGTAGAAGGACCAGGTATGTGCAGTATTTCCTAAATAGTAAAAGGTTAGAAAACTTTGGTGGGTGGGAAGGTGCCAATAATGTACTGAAGGCAAGAAGGCAGGTGTAGCAAGCAATTAGGAAGGATATTGTATGTTAGCTTTTATAGCAAGAGGATTTGAGTGCAGGAATTGCAAAGTCCAGTTTCAGTTATATTGCTTGGTTAGACCACACCTGGAATCACTTACCTTAGAAAGGATATTATTGCCATAGGGGGAGTGCAACAAAGTTTCACGGGACTTGTTACCTGGATGTCAGGACTGTCTTATGAAGAGAGTTTGGGGACAGTGGACCAAAGGGTGTGTGGTAATGTTATTGAAACTTAGAAAATATATAGAGATAGGCAGGATAAATGCAGGTAATTTATTTCCAGTGGTAGGGGAGTTTGGAACCAGGGAACACAATTTTGTAATTGGAGGAAGTTATTTGGGACTTGGATGAGAATTTTTTTTTTGCTCAGTGTCATGTATCTTTGGACAGCTATAGAACCTCACTCATTGAGTGTGCTTAGAGACTGGTATTTAGAAATCTGTCAATGATATAAAGGGCTATGGGATACCATGGAAAAAAGACTTTAAAATAGATGATCAGCCATGGTCATATTAAATGGCAGACTAGGCTTGAAGGGCCAAATGTAGCAAAAGACTCAATTTCTAGAAATAAATCATCAATAGCCTATCAAGACTGAATTGAGGCTGCTGGAACATAAATGTAGTTTGGGAATTAAGGTTTTTGTCCTGAGGAGCTATGTTTGCCATGAAAACATGAGCTAAGTATTAGCATTTGCAAAAAACCTGTTTTTTTTTAGTTTATACCTTTTGTAGGTGCTCTTTTCACTGGTTGTCCTTGATAATATTGCAGAGTTTTGAGCCTGGCTTGTAATTTAGATTATTTTGTACTTTCAGTATCCTGCATGTGTTATTATAGATCAGTTTCTACAGAAAATCGGACTTGAATAATTGCCTGCCATGGAATACGGTGAACATAGAAATCATAAGAACTGCATTGAAAATTTTTTATTCTTGTTTCATGTGATAATTATTTCCTATCTGTGTGACAGGATAACAGTCCTGTTTCCTGTATTGTTCTGTTTGGCTTAAGTCTGCGTGACATAAAATAACACACTTTCCTCCAAACTAGAATAAATAGGCAAATTATTCAGGTTATGTCTTTTGTGTCTTTTTTTTTTCTTCTGTTCAGTTCATGATTACAGGAGGCAGTTTGCAAGATAGCAAAGATGCACTGGAATTGGCAAAGACAAGAGGTCAGTTACGAAACCGGCTTTGCTTCAATATATTCCTTGAAAATGCTCAAGGGGTGTATTAATCTTATTGCAGAATTCAGTGCAAATTTTGCTGATTTCAGTTAAATAATTCTTTAGATTTTAAGATGTACCAAGTAACAACAGTGTTACCGAAAAAAGAGTAACAATTAATTTGATTGAGCTTTGTGCTGTGATTAAAATGTGTTCCTCACGCTGGTACAATTCTGCAATTTCACTTTCCCATTTACAAAGTGAGAAATTATAGTCTGTCAGATGTTCTGCAGAATTTGAAAGTTTCACACTTAAAAGTTAATAATTTTTGTCATAAATTTTATTTGCCACTGAGCCTCAAAGCAATTTAACAAAACATGTAAATAATTTGTGGTACAAGAGTCTAATCTCATTTTAGTTATGGGTTTATTCTGAATGACATTTTTCATGTGAAATCCATTCTGCTAATCTAGGTAAGGTCCTGAAACAGCTGGAATATACTATTACATTTGAACTCTCACTTAGAAACCAGTAAGCAATGCCATTATTATCGTATTTCCGTATGCTCATTAAGCTCACTATGAACGAACGTTTCTACTGTACTGTACAAAAACAACAGAACACCCCCCTTCTGTGCTGTAATCATTCCATGATGCTGTGAACTATTTGCCTTGTTTATGTGCCTGCAATTCAGAAACCTTTGATTCAATATTACCTCAAAACACTGTAGAGGTATATAAGATACTATTTAAATACAAATACTTCCAAAATTTAAAGATGTATGTAATGTACCAATATATTACCAGAAATAAGCAGAAGTACTGCTCCTGTTATTAATCAGTAATCTCACCAATATGTTAGTCATGATTTGTTTTTAAAAACACATAAAGGTATTTGCAAACTAATAATTGCCATCAGACAAAGTACCTTTAGAGTGTAGTGCTGTGATCATTAATGGTCAAAACGGCAGATTTTGGCATTGAACTTAAATTTAAACGTGCACTCAAGTATGCAGTTTTTATTCTTTGGCCATAAATGTGAAATAGCTTCAAAAATGCAATGATATGAAAAGTAACCATAGGGCTTGGGTATTAAAATAGAAAATACTGAAGATACTCAGGATCTGTAGCTTTTCTCAGACCTGGAATATGTTAAAGATGTAGGCAAATAAAGAAGGAGGGAGAACAATAGGGAAAGTCTGACAGGATTGAATACAAATAATTACGAGACAATGGGAACAGTAACAAAAGAAACAAAGGAACAAAAGTTGGAGCTGTGTTGGTAAAATTGAGCTATGGTTACAATGTGAAATAGTTGAATTCTATTTCAGTGAGCTGCAAAATCCCAAATTGAAAGATTTCTTGTGCTTCTGTTTAGTTTCATTTGGAATGGTGAAGAAGGATGGGTACAGAGTGATCAGTGTGAGAATGGAATGGAGAATTAAAATAGAAAGCAGCTAGAATCTCAGGATTATGCTAGTGGACAGAATGAAGGTGTTCAACAAAACACTCCCCTAACCTTTATTTGGTTTTCCCAGTGAAATTCAACAAATACTATTTACTGAAGAATAATAATTACTGAAGAATAAGGTACAATTAAATTACCATTTCACCTGGTACAGGATTTGAAAGCCTCGAAAATAGGAAGTGAAAAGGTGAAAATCCCTTTCTTCATACTCTGTACTTGATTAAAACAGGTGCATCTTTAATTTTTAACCCAGTTCTATGAAAGATCATCAATCTGTAATGTTAATTTGATTTCCCTTTGCACAAATACTGCCACACTGGCTTAGCAACTCCAGCATTTTCATTTTGTGTTCCATTGTTAACATCTGCAGTATGTTTTTTTCATGACTTTTATGACACGGGACCTGCAGTCTGAGCACATGAAAACAAAACTGTTTGAGATGCACTGCCACTACTGATGTTGGTTGTGGTTTTAGGTGACTGGGTCCTATGTTTTGGAGTTCCCACCCTCCGACTTTTGCTTAGCCAATCTTTCTCCTAGTTTAAATACTGCTTAAACCTATTTCCTCACAAAGTTTTTGATCATAGGTTCTAATATCTCCTTGTGCTTCACTCTTGTGAAGCACCTTGGATGTTAAAGGTGCTGTATAAAATAATGTGATATTTGTATATATCTTGTTAATTTCTATGTTATTTTAAACACTTAACTGATACCCTCTTGATCTCTTACTTGCCAGAGAAATAGTTCATGTTTTCCGTTGCAGATATGTGTATGTTTCTTGTGGACATGTCATATGGTATGATCATTTCTCTTTCATGCCATTTCCTCACAGATTCTTTCTATAGTACAGTTGGTTGTCACCCTACACGCTGTGGTGAATTTGAGCAGAACAATCCAGAGCAGTACTTGTCTGATCTTAAAACTTTGGCCATAGAGAACAAAGGGAAAGTGGTGGCCATTGGAGAATGTGGTTTGGGTAAGTATAAAAAAGTTATGCCTGTTGTGTTGTCGGATTGACTTTACGTTGTTTCCCATGGAAACATTATGGTTGGTTTCTGTAACTAGGTTGGGTACGAGGCTAATGATTGATAATCATATTATTTACTGGTCCTTTCTAATTTTTACTTCTGCAGATTTTGACAGAATGGAATTTTGTCCTAAAGAGATTCAACTAAAGTAAGTATTCAGTTTTATTTCTGCTGTCTACTTAAGTTACAAACATTTTTCATCCCTCCCAAGCTCCTTTCTCCACCATAGATTATCGACATCTACACAATCTTCATGTTCCTATCAGGATAGTCCCAATGGTAATTAGAAGGAAATGAAAAATCTCTGTGCTCAAGAGATAACAATCGCGTATGTAAATCTTTAAACAATTACAGTTGTGTCTGTTTTTAAATTGTTGCTTGAAAGCTACTGCTGAATTGCAATTTGCCTATTGTCCTCCATAATGTAATGAATCATAGAATGGCCTTGTTCTTTGCTATAACCTGTTGGCTTTTCTTGTCCATGCTAGAGCAACTCCACAAATCCTGCTTCCAACCTATAGTCCTGCAAATTTCTTTTCTCTTCAGATAATTACCAAAGTCCCTTTTGAAAGCCGTAATGAATCCCCAATTCACTATCCTCTTGGGCAGTACATTCCACATCGTAAACACTCGCTGGGTAAGAGAGGTTTTCCACATGTCACCATTGGTTCTTTTGCCAGTTACCTTAAATGATTCTTAAACTTTCAACCACGAGGAACAGTTTCCTCCCATCCAATCTATCTAATTCCCTAACTTATTTTGAACAAGTCTCCTGTCAACCTTGTCATCTGTAAGCAGAGCAGACCCAGCTTCACATCGCCATGCAATTGAGATCTCTATTCTCAAATCTTTTGTTCCTTCTTTTCACATATTTCATAAAACATGGTGCCTAGAATTAGACCGTGAAGATAAGAGATTAAAATCACTATACCTACTTTCTTTTTATACTCTGTCTAATTATAAATTCTAGGATTCTATTTGCCTTTTTAATCATTTCTGAACTTCTTCTGTCACCTTCAATGATTTATGCACATAAAGCCTATTACCCCTCTGTTTTTGCACCTCCTTTTAGAATTGTATCTTTTAATTTATACTACCTCTCCTCATTCTTTCTCCAAAATGCATCATTCACTCTTCTCTGGTTTAAGATTCATTTGATGCATTGTCTGTCCAGTCCTCTAGCCTGTCCTCATAGTCATTCGCTATCCTCAATATTTCCAATTCTGCGATTTTTGAAATTGTACCCTATACATCCAAATGTTTACGGATTTCTTTCAGGGAAAAAAAAGTTATTTTCACAAAATTACATTTCTGTCACAAAATTGTCTGTCAGGTCTGATTCCAAGAGTATGACTATGTTCCAGACACTGCCATCAACATCCCCGGATATGCTGTCCCCACTGACTGGACAGACCTAGCAGAGGTGGCAGCACAGTGATATACAGTCAGGAGGGAGTTGCCCTGGGAGTCCTCAGCATTGACTCTGGACCCCATGAAGTCACATGGCTTCAGGTTAAACATGGGCATGGAAACCTCCTGCTGATTACTACGTACTGTCCTCCCTCCGCTGATGAATCAGTATTTCTCCATGTTGAGCAACACTTGGAGGAAGCACTGAGGATGGTAAGGGCACAAAGTATACTCTGGGTGAGGCATTTCAATGTCCACCACCAAGAGTGGCTCGGCAGAGTACTACAGATCAAGTCGGTTGGGTCCTGAAGGACATAGCTGCTGGACTGGGTCAGCAGCAGGTGGTGAGGGAACCAACAAGAAGAAAAAACTTACTTGATTTCATCCTTCTCAATCTGTCAGCTGCACATGCATCTGTCTATGACAGTATTGGTAAGAGTGACCATCGCACAGTCCTTATGGGGACAGAAAGTCCTGCCTTCACATTGTGTTGTGTGGCACTATCACCGTGCTAAATGGGACAGACTTAGAACAGATCTAACAATTCAAGACCGAGCATCCATGAGGCGCTTTGGACCATCAACTGCGGCAGAATTGTACTGCAGCACAGCCTGTAACCTCATGGCCTGGAATATTCCCCACTCAACCATTGCCATCAAGCCAGGGAATCAACCCTGGTTCAATGAAGAGTGCAGGAGGGCATGCCAGGCACAACATTAGGCATACCTGAAGACAAGGTATCAACCCGGTGAAGCCACCAAAAAGGACTACTTACACGCCAAACAGCAAAAGCAGACAGAGCTGAGCGATCTCACAACCAACAGATCAGATCTAAGCTCTGCAGTCCTGCCACATCCAGTCGTGAATGGTGGTGGGCAATTAAACAACTCACTGGAGGAGGAGGAGGCTCCACAAATATCCCCATCCTCCATGATGGAAGAGCCCAGCACATCAGTGCAAAAGATGAGACTAAAGCTTTCACAGACGTGCCAAGTGAATGATTCATCTCAGCCTCCTCCAGTGTTCCCCAGCATTACAGATACCAATCTTCAGCCAATTTGATTCTGTCCATGTGATATCAAGAAACAGTTGGAGGCACTGGATACTGCAAAGGCAATGGGCCCTGACAACATTCCAGCAATAGTACTGAAGACTTGTGCTCCAGAACTTTCCGTTTTCCTAGCTAAGCTGTTCCAGTAGAGTTACAACACCTGGTATCTACCCGGTATATGTGGAAAATTGCCCAAGTATGTTCTGTATGTAAAAAGCAGGACAAACCCAAGCTGGTCAATTACCACTCTGTCAGTCTACTCTTTATCATCAGTGAAGTGATGGAAGGTGTCATCAACAGTGCTATCAAGCAGTCCCTGCTCAGTGACGCCCAGTTTGGATTCCGCCAGTATCACTCATCTCCTGACCTCATTACAGCATTGGTTCAAACGTGGACAAAAGAGCTGAATTCCAGAGGTGAGGTGAGAGTGACAGCCCTTGACATCAAGGCTGCATTCGACTGTGTGTGGTATCATGGAGCCCTGGCAAAACCGGAATCAGTGTGTATTGGGGCCAAACTCTCTGGTGGTTAGAGTCATACCTGACACATAGGAACGTGGTTGTGGTTGTTGGAGGTCAATCATCTCATCTCCAGACACGTCTGCAGGAGTTCCTCAGGGTAGTGTCCTAGGCCCAACCATATTCAGCTGCTTCATCAGTGACCTTCCCTCCATCATAAGGTCAGAAGTGGGGATGTTCACTGATTGCACAATGAACACCATTTGCAACTCTGCAGATACTGAAGCAGTCCATGTTTAAATGCACAAGATTTGGACCATATCTAGGCTTGGGCTGACAAGTGGCAAATAACATTTGTGCCACACAAATGCCAGGCTATGACCATCACAAATAAGAGACAATCTAACCATCATCCCTTGACATTTAATGGTGTTACCATCTCTGAATCCCTCACTGTCAAGATCCTGGGGTTTATCATTGACCAGAAACTCAACTGGACGCACCACACAAACACAGTGCTACAAGAGCAGGTCAGAGGCTGGGAATAGTGATGAGTAACTCACCTGCTGACTCCCCAAAGCCTGTACACCAACTACAAGGCACACGTCCCCACTTGCCTTGATGAGTGTAGCCCCAACAACACTCATGAAACTTGACGCCATCCAGAACAAAGCAGCCTGCTTGATTGGCAGTACATTCACAAGCATCCACTCCCTTCACCATCAACGCTCAGTAGCAGCAGTGTGTACTATCTACAAGTTGTACTGCAGAAATTCACCGAAGATCCTCAGACAGCACCTTCCAAACCCGTGACCACTTCCATCTAGAAGGCGAAGGGTAGTAGATATATGGGAACACCATCACCTGTAAATTCCCCTCCAAGCCACTCATCATCCTGACTTGGAAATATATCACTGTTTCCTCACTGTTGCTGGGTCAAAATCCTGGAATTTCCCCCCTAGTGGCATTGTGGATCAACCCACAGGTGGACTGCAGCGTTTCAAGAAGGCAGCTCACCACCACCACCTCGAGCAACTAGGGATGGGCAATAAATGCTGGCCAGTCAGCGACACCCAGATCCCACAAATGAATAAATTTAAAAAAAGGGTGGGACTTGGACCTAGCTCTCCTGGTCTAGAAATAGAGGCACTACCTCTGTGCCACAAGAGCCCTTCCCTATTTATTTATATAACATCCTTTTCTTTATGGATTAAAATGAGTTCTAAATAAAAACACTCTAGAAAATGTTGAGCTTCACTGTCACGTTATTGGTGATCAGCATAGGTAAGTTGACATTAAGACCTTAATTGAAAGCTATTTTTCCTTACATGTTTTGTCTTCCTTAATTGATAAAACTTTGTCTTGAAATACTGAGAATATACTTTTCTTTCAGATACTTTGAAAAGCAATTTGACCTGGCAGAAGAAACTAAATTGCCTCTGTTTCTACACTGCAGAAATTCACATGCAGAATTTTTAGGTATGATTGAAATGAAATTGCAGTTTCTACCAAAGTACAAAATCAAGTTCTTCAATGGTTAAATACTCCCAACTGTGTAAAACCTGCCCTTGTGTGCTGCAGAGTTTCTAGTATGATCAGTGATGACAAGGGTAGCAGCCAACATGGATTTTATGATTCCAAAAAAAGACCGAGAACATTTTGAGAGAAATTTTCAAACTTTTGACTGGAAATAGACTAGTGGATGAAATTTCCCTTAAGACATTTTCTGCACCAACAAACAGAAAATAGATCAAACTGGCCACTAATGCCTCAAAATACAAAGGTAACGTTCACAACTACGACTTAAAGTAACTGAAATAGCGCGTGTCTTATGAAGCATCGCAATTCCATACTTCTGACTGTTATACAGCATACAGGAATGGTCTTACGGTCACCCCCAGCTCATCAGCAGGGGTTCACTTTACCTCACTATAATAGACCAAAACTTCTAGTATTATAGAAAGTTGCTTTGTCAGCCTGTGTTTTTCTGGATGCTGTTCCACTGTCAAGGCATGTGGGTGACTTATTCATCAAATCATCAAAAGCCTGCCTGTTCTTTCCACTTCCTCTGAACAGAAACCAAACACTCACCAGCAGCCTGCTTGATGATGAGCACAAAAGCAGTTTCCCCGCTTTCCCACAAAAGGATTGAAAATTCGTCTAGAATTCATTGGGTTTTTGTTTGGGTTTCTGTCCCTATGACGACCGAATTACTTGAGCATGTCTCCCAGACCGAGGCATTTTTCTTGTTATGATGCCAACTAATGTTAATTGGACAATGTTAAATCCTGGATTGAAACCTGGCTTCATAGACCGTTGATAGAACCAAAACTAGGCCGAAGAACTCCCACGCTCAATTTCAAATCCTCCGTGGTATAGAATCATGGAATCTTAGAATCCCCACAGTGCGCAAGGCGGCCATTTGGCTCTTTGAGTCGACACTGACCCTCTGAAGAGCATCCCACCCAGACCCAGCTCCCTACCAAATTCCTTAACCTCACATCTACTGTGACTAATCCATCTCGTCTACTCATCCCTGAACATTACAGATAATTTCAGCACGGCCATTTCAACTAACCTGCACATGTTTCGATTGTTGGTGGAAACTGGAGCACCTGGAGCAAACTCCACACAGACAGTTGCCTGAGGGTGGAGTCGAACCCAGGTCCCTGGTGCTGTGAGTCAGCAGTGCTAACCACTGAGCCACCGTACCGCAATAGGCTGCTGTTGTTGGCTCCTCCTGAAAGAAACATGCCCTAACTGAAACCATGTCCACCTCTGCACCATTGATACAGACAGGGGGCATGTCCTCCACTCTGCTTCCTGAAGTCAATGCCTAGCTCCTTCGGTTTGCTGACATCGAGGGAAAGGTTGTTGTCTTTACACCATGCCATTAAGCTGTCTATCTCTTTCCTGTACTCTGTCTCATCATTGTTTGAGATCTGACCCACTACAGTGTGTCATCAAATTTCTAAATGTTAGAGCTGAATTTCGCCTCACGGTTGTGAATGTATAAGGAGTGTATAAGGGGCAGAGTACGCAGCCTTGCGGGGCACTGGTGTTGAGGATTACGGTGGAGGAGGTGTTGTCACCTATCCTTACTGATTACAGTCTGCAGGTCAGGAAGTCAAGGATCCAATTGCAGAGGTGGGAGTAGAGTCCTAGGTCCATGAGTTTGGAGATAAGTTTGTTTGGAATTAAGGTGTTGAAGGGAGAGCTAAAGTCAATAAATAGGAGACTGACATAGGTGTCATTGTTATCCAGATGAGCGTAGAGCCAGGGAGATGGCATCTGCTGTGGACCTTTTACAACAGTAGGCAAATTGTAGTGGATCAAGGCAACCTGGGAGGCTAGAGTTGATGTGTGCCATTACTAGCCTCTTGAAGCACTTCATAATGATGGATGTCAGAGCCACCGGATGGTAGTCATTAAGGCACTCGTTCCCTACACTTGGTTTCTAAGAGTATTGCAGAATTTCATGGGATTTGGGCTTTACTGACTGGGCCAGCATATAATGCCCATCCCTAATTGCCCTTGAGATGGCAGTGTCGAGATAGCTTCTTGAACTGTTGCAGAATATTTGGTGTAGGCACCCCCACAGTGCTGAGAGTTCCGGGATTTTAACCAAGCAATAGTGAAGGAATGGCAATGTAATTTCAAGTCTGGATACTGAGTAGCTTGAAAAGGCTTTTACATGTGGTGGTGTTCACGTGTTTATGTGTTGTTGTGGTTCCCATGTATCTGCTGCCCGTGTCCTTCTAGAGAGTCGTGGTCATGAAAGTGCTGTCTAAGGGGTCTTGGTGATCTTGTAGATGTTATAAACTGCTGTTACTGTGCATCAGTGGTAGAGGGAGTCAATGTTTGTGGATGGAACTTTTGTCGCTTATTGCACGGGGAATGGAATGGATAAGGAAGTTTTGCTGCAGTTTTACAGGGTATTGGTGAGTCTAGACCTCAAGTACCGTGCACAATTTTAGACTTTTTGTTTAAGAAAAGATATAATTGAGTTTGAAGAAGTGTAGTGAGGTTCATTGGTCCTGGGAAGAGGGCTTATCTTATGAGGAAAGATTAGACTAGCTGGGTCTGAAACTGTTGCAGTTTAGAAGAATGAGAGGTGATCAGACTGAGGGAACTTGATATTGTAAATGCCAAAAGGATATAGCTTTTCCCTTTTGGGAGAACCAGGGTACGTGGTTGAAAAATAGGAGATCTCCCATTTAAGATAGTAATGAGGAGAATATTTTTTTCTCTGAGGGTTACGATTCTGTGTAATTGCCTTCCACAGAGAGCAGTGGCATTTTCATTAAGTATTTTTAAGGCAGAGGTAGGTGGCCTTTAACTCCCTGGTTAACCAAGAATCCATCAGGAGTAGGCAGGAAAGTGGAGTTGAGGCCACAGTCAGATCAGTCATGTAATTATGTGATATTGGAGCAGTCTTGAGTAGGGCGGGGTGGGGAAGGGGGGTGGGGGTGGCATATTTGGCCAATTACGATGCAGATGTTGAGTATTGAACAAGACATTGTACATGATGTGTAAAGAAATTCTGAGCCTTTTCAACTCTGTTTTGTAGATATAATGAAGAGAAACATTGACAGATGTGTTGGAGGTGTGGTAAGTGTAACAGTTATGTGAATCAATCTAGGGAATCAGGAATTTGATTATCACAATATACCCTTCTTTATGATATAATCATATACTACATTCAGGAATTGTGTAGAAAATATCCAAGCCAATAAGGCAGTTTATTAATTTTAACTACGTAGTGAAAATTTAATGCCTCTGTTTTGTGATAAGCATAAGGATACGCGTGTAATTTATTTTGTATTCACTGAGTGAGTGGTAATGTGACTGACTTGGCCAGTTGCTTATTGTAGAAATCAGTGGAGTTAAAATTTTGAAAGTTCTACAATGAGTTATCCAGTCTGGTAAGCTATCACTTGTGTGGTGAAATTGAACATGTACCCACTGGTGACAGTAAGGACTGCAGTTGCCAGGAACTAGAGTCCGAAACGTTGACTTCCCTGCTCCTAGGATGCTGTCTGACCAGGTGTGATTTTCCAGCCCCACATTTATTGGTCCCATGTACCCACTGGCCTTCGGAACACAGCCACTATTACTCTCAAAGCAAATATTTTCAGCTAAAGTGTGTTAAGTATTGAATTATATAAAAAAGAAACTCGAATTTATATAGGGATTCAGAGAAAATAGGAACTGCCGATGCTGGAGAATCTGAGATAACAAGGTGTAGAGCTGGATGAACACAGCAGGCCAAGCAGCATCAGAGGAGCAGGAAAGCTGACGTTTCGGGTCTGGACCCTTCTTCAGAAATCAA